GAGGAGCACACTTGCGAATCGAAAACGCCCGCCTCAAGGACGAACTCGAACGGGTTTGTTCTCTCGCGGGCAAGTTCATGGGTCGGCCCGTTTCCTCAATGGGTCATACGATGCCCAATTCGAGCTTGGAGCTCGGAGTCGGGGGTATAAACGTAATTTCCTCCGATTTCGGAATTTCGAGCCCTATCCCTATGCTACCTCCCCATAAATCAATTACAATGAGTAATGTAGCAACGAACAATAATAATAATAACGAGAGATCGTTCGAGAGGTCAATGTATTTGGAGCTAGCTTTGGCTGCGATGGATGAATTAGTGAAATTGGCGCAAACCGACGAGCCACTTTGGATTAGGGGTTTCGAAGGCGGGAAGGAGATACTTAACCATGAGGAGTTTTCGAGAACTTGTGCTCCTTGCATTATCGGAATGAAGCCCAATGGATTCGTCACCGAGGCTTCTAGAGAAACGGGCATGGTTATTATCAACGGTTTGGCCCTAGTCGAGACGCTAATGGACTCGGTGAGTTGACTCGTAAAAAAAATAAAATCACGATTTCTTGAAATTGACGATATATATTCTAACGATTTTCGCGTGTCGAATTTTGTTTTAATAGAACAAATGGGCAGAAATGTTTCCTTGTATAGTTGCAAGAACATCAACTACAGAAGTGATATCAAGTGGTATGGGAGGTACAAGAAATGGTGCACTTCACTTGGTAAATTAATTCTCTACATGCATCCTTTATTTCTAATTATATATTATTATTATTATAATTATTATTATTTAATTTTTTTCTAATTTAAATTTAATTTTTATTATGGTTTATTAATTATTAATAATTAGATGAATGCTGCACTACAAGTTCTATCGCCATTAGTTCCGGTTCGAGAGCTCAATTTTCTCCGGTTCTGCAAACAACACGCCGAAGGCGTGTGGGCCGTAGTCGACTTGTCGATCGAAAGTTTGGGGGGCCCGCCTTTTCCAACCTGCCGGAGGCTCCCTTCCGGCTGTGTTGTTCAAGATATGCCTAATGGCTATTCCAAGGTATTTATTATTTATTCATTTATTTTATATATAATAATTATTATTTTTATTACTTCATTATTTTGTTGGATTGTTAGTTATTACAACACAGCTCCCATACTTGTTTTATTTCTTCACATTTATTGAGTGTGTCAATAGTTGGTATATCCTTCACCCTCTTTGTTTTAAATAAGTTTGTTGAACACATTTATTTATTTGAGGTCACACACACACACACACACACACACAGTAATCACTCACAAAATCACTACATTCTTGAAAATATATATATTAGTGACTAGCTACAATTTTTTTTAATTCAAGAATCAAGAAATTAATTTTATGGGATTTTGGTCTTGACCTAATTAGTAAGAACCTTCCTAATTAATTTTTAAATAGTGGAGACAAGATGCTTCTCGTTCCACAAAAAAAGAACCATATTTTAACAATGTGGGATTGCTTAACACAAGTTTAGTTGTACTAATTAATTAGTTAATTAGTGTAGGTAATCGAGGTTTTTAACTTTTACTTAGACAGCCTAAAAAAAATAAAAAAATAATTGGGGGAATGGAAGCCTCTATTGCTCCTACTTTTGCTCTCTTGGGACACATTAATTTGGTGTAATGATATTTAGAGTAAGCAAACTTCAAACATTGGTACAATATATATATTATATATATATTATATATATATTTTGTCTCGATCAAGACAAAACCATTGGAGAGTGGGGCTTAATATAATTGTTTTTATATAATAATTCATATTGGTTATTACTTGGTTCCAGCCTCATCATGTGGTTGTTTTTTTCTTAAATTAGCTTAAACCCTTTTCTCACTAGAGACACTTGTATGTATACATGTATATATATGTGTGTGTATGTGTGTGTTTGAAGTCCACCTCGTGCCTACAAATCTTGCAAAAAAAATTGAGTTGTCTGTATTTTCAAGACTGGGGCTTGTGTTTTGATGTCTCCTCTCTCATTATTGTACTTAACCCACTATACCCATCTTTGAAAATAAGTGTGTGGGGTAACATTTCTATGACATATTTGTTCTATTCTATATTTAGGATTTTTTATTAAACCGTAAATTACGGTCAAATCCCTAAGGTAAGACCAAATTACGAAAAAACTCATTATTTTTTGTATTGTCTTTCACGTTCACTCTTACGGTGTCAAATTTATCTATTGAAGTAGGGAGTTTTACGTAAGACAACACATAGTTGAAGGTGATTATAATTACCCAAACAATAGGGGTATTTTTGTAATTTAATCTTACCTCAGGAAGCCGTAATTGTAGGTTACTTGGGTGGAACATATTGAATACGATGAGAGTGTGATCCACCAGCTCTACCGGCCGTTAATCAGCTCCGGCATGGGCTTCGGGGCCCACCGGTGGGTCGCCACCCTCCAACGCCAGTGCGAATGTCTTGCCATTCTTATGTCTTCCACCTCCCCGGCGACAGATCATCACACCGGTAAAAAAAAAAATTACGGAAAACCCGACATCCGCTATTTTTCTTCCGACACGTTTCGAAAACTAAAACTAATTTTAATTCATTCACAATTTGCAGCGATAACCGCCGGCGGGCGGAGGAGCATGTTGAAGTTGGCTCAGAGAATGACGAACAACTTCTGCGCGGGGGTGTGCGCCTCCTCCGTGCACAAATGGAACAAACTGAGAACGGAGAATGTGGACGACGACGTTCAGGTGATGACGCGGAAGAGCGTCGACGACCCAGGGGAGCCGCCGGGGATTGTGCTGAGCGCCGCCACCTCCGTGTGGCTGCCGGTGACCCCACAGAGGGTTTTCGATTTCCTCCGCGACGAGCGTTTGAGGAGCGAGTGGGACATACTCTCCAACGGCGGCCCTATGCAGGAAATGGCTCATATCGCCAAAGGCCAAGATCACGGCAACTGCGTTTCCCTCCTACGCGCCGGCGTAAGTCCCCTTCTCTGTATTATTAAAAATATATTAAATATTTAGACTTTGCAAAAAAAAAAAATTAAAGGTCCAAAATTACGAATGTGCCTATTAAAACCTCTATAAATTAATACAGTTGTGGCCGTCAAAATTTTATTAATTTAACAAAATATTATAATATCGAACTAATGATTTAGTAAGTTTTTACCGAGTCTGGACCGCAAAAAGCTATTATTTAATTGAGATTATTAATTTATCATGCAGTTATTTATTGAGGTTAAATTTAATTAGCTAGGACAAATTTGGAATTGGAACTATCTGCAAGGACAAAAGTTTTGAAGATCCAATGGTGTGTAATATTTAATTGTTTTTATTGAATATTATATAGTTAAATATTTCAAAGTCAACAGAACTTTTTCATGAAACGTCATTCTTCGATGGGGTTGACTCACTGACCGACTCAGTAGAACCCTAAAAGGTGTAACAGCACTGACGTGACATAACACCGTATGATTTTTTTTATTTTTAATTTATTAACCGTAACGGCTGCATAATTTCATTGGGGGTATTTTTGTAATTTCAACCGCAGGCCGTGAACTCGAGCCAGAGCAGCATGCTGATACTCCAGGAGACGTGCATCGACGCGGCGGGGGCGCTTGTGGTTTACGCGCCTGTCGACATCCCCGCCATGCACCTGGTGATGAACGGCGGGGATTCGGCTTACGTGGCGCTTCTTCCGTCTGGATTCTCGATCATGCCAGATGGGACGGGCGGGGGCGGGCCCGTTTCCGGAGACGGGTCGGGCGGAAATGGCGGGTCGGGTCACGGCGGTGGCGGGTCGCTACTGACGGTGGGGTTTCAGATCTTGGTGAACAGCCTCCCTACGGCGAAGCTCACCGTAGAGTCCGTGGAGACGGTCAATAATCTCATCTCGTGCACCGTTCAGAAAATCAGGGCCGCTCTCCATTGCGACAACTGATTGTGGGTCCCGCATTCTCTTTTTTTCGTATTTATTTTGGGAGTATTATAAATTACAATGAATAGGGGTGTAGTGGGTGTAATTTGAATTTAATTTAAGGGGTTTGTTTGGGTGGGAGGGTTGAAAATGTACGTCTGTTTGAG